TGCTGCTGAGCTAAATCCCCAGCCCCAGGTTTCTGTATTCTGACTCTTGTCCTTTCTTCTCCATCCTCTCACTGTCCTCACCCTGGGAAGATCAAGAGCTACACGGGATGTGGCAATAGACAAACAGGTAGGTAAAGTAGTAGAATTGCTTGGTCATGTAGTAGTTCTACTTTTAAGTTTCTTGAAAACTTCCAGGTTATTTTCTGACACATAACAGTAGCTCAGAAAACTGCTTAATGGATCATAAAGACTTGGCCAGAAGAAAGAAAAACATTTGAGGTTTCCAGAGAGTAAAAATCTGTGTCATGGAGCCTATAAAGAGGCAAGACCATTGGCACACTGTAACCTGAGCTTTAACAGAAACGGTTTATCTAACATTCATTCAGCTGGCTCTCCCACACCTTCCCCACTCTGAGAATGGGAGAGATGGCAAAGCATCAGGGTCCAACAGGCGGGAAGTGCAATCCTGGCCAGGCATGGTGGCACACACCTGTAGTCCCAGGACTTCAGAGGCTGAGGCAGGAGGATCACTGCGAGTTCGAGGCCAGCTTGGGCTACATAGTGAGTTGAAGCCCAGCCTGGGCTGAATAGCAAAACCCTGCCTCAAAAAGAAAAATAAAAAAAAGTGCAATCCCAAGGCGATCCTAGCCTGGCTCCAGGCCATCCAAGTTCTCCCCAGCGGTCCCTGAAAGCAGCAAGAGTCCGCTGTGTCTCTGGAGGAGATCCTTGGCGGTCTGGCTCCTGCCTCCAGTGCTGTCTCTTCAGCCCTGCAGGTGAGACTCTTCGGCTTCCTGCTAAGGGCTCACACTGGACTCTACAGCGAGCTCCAGGCCTTTCACTTTGGATCCCATTTGCACTCTCCCACACCTAACTCTGCAGGCGGCCATTGTAAGCATAGATGTTCTCTTCCTCTGGAGAACTCTGACACAGATTTCCAATTTTCCCATCACAATGTACTGAAAACATTATCTCTCTCTGTATGTCGTATCACTATTATCAAGTCAGTCGGCTATAGATATGTGGGTTTACGTCCAGGCTCTCTATTCCACCCGTGTGTGTGTGTGTGTGTGTGTGTGTGTGTGTGTGCGCGCGCGCGCCCGCGCACGCCTGTTTTTATGCCAAGACCACGCAGTAGTGATCACTACAGCTTTTTGGTAGTATAATTTGGACAGCTTGAAAACTTCATATACGTGGAATTTTCAGTATGCCCTTTTGTTAACTCAGGTTCTATGTGCAGCAGGCTGGGAGAAAGGATTAGTATGCACACCCCTACCCTCACCCAATCCCTGGCAACATCCATTCTACCCTCCATTTCCCTTGTTTTCTTCACACATGAGTGAGGTCATATGGTATTTGTCCTGCTGTACCTGGCCAATTGCACTGAACAAAATGTCCTCTAGGTTTATGCATTTTGTCATAAATGACATGATTTTCTCCCAAAACAATAAGTAGTGTTCCATTGTGTAAGAGAACACGTTTTCTTTTTTTTTCTTTTTTCTTTTTTCTTTTTTCTTTTTTCTTTTTTTTGTCTTTTGTCTTTTTGAGACAGGGTCTTGCTATGCAGTTCAGGCTGGACTTAAGCGCACTTTGTAACCCAGGCTGGTCTCAAACTCCCAACGATCTTCCTGCCTCAGCCTCCCAGGTGCTGGGATTACAGGC